CCCGTCTCTACTATAAATAGAAACAAATTAATTGGCCAACTAATATATATAAAAAATTAGCCGGGCATGGTGTGCGCGAGCCTGTAGTCCCAGCTACTCGGGAGGCTGAGGCAGAGGATTGCTTGAGCCAGGAGTTTGAGGTTGCTGTGAGCCTAGGCTGACGCCATGCACTCACTTAGCCTGGGCAACAAGTGAGACTCTGTTCTCAAAAAAAAAAAAAAAAAATCAGATCAAGTATCTGTTTTGGCCACAATATGGTATGAAGCTAGAAATCAATAACAGAAGGAATCATGGAAAATTAACAAATATGTGGAAATTAAACAATATGCTCCTAAACAACTATTGGGTCAAAGAAGAAATTAAGGGGAAATTTTTAAAAGATAGCTTGAGACAAAGGAAAATGGAAACAAACATACCAAAACTTATGGGATGCAGCAAAAGCAGTTCTAAGAGGTACGTTTATAGCAATGAATATTTACATCAAAGAAGAGGAAAGATCCTCAATAAGCAAACTAATGTTACACCTCAAGAAACTAGAAAAAGAAAAACAAACTAAGCACAAAGTTAGCAGAAGGGAGATCAGAGCAGAAATAAATGAAATAGAGACTAGAAAAACAATAGAAAAAAATCAGCGAGACTAGGAGTTGGGTTTTTTTGAAAAGCTAAACAAAACTGACAGACATGTTGCCAAAGGAAAAAAAGATAGAACACTCAAATCAATAAATTCAGAAATGAAAGAAGAGACTTTACAACGGGTAGCACAGAAATATAGAGGATCATAAGAGACTACTATGAGCAATTCTATGCCAACAAATTGGACAACCTAGAAGAAATGGATACATTCTTAGAAATATATGCCTACCAAGACTGAACCATGAAGAAATTGGAAATCTGAACAGACCAATAATAAGGAGACTGACTGGATGAGTAATTAAAAGTTTCCTATTTAAAAAAAGCCCTTGATCTGATGGCTTCATGGCTTAATTCTACCAAACATTTAAAGAAAAACTAATTCCACTCCTTCTCAAACTCTTCTAAAAAATTGAAGAGAAGCCGGCGCGGTGGCCACGCCCGTAAAATCCTAAGCATTTGGGAGGCCGAGGCGGCGCGATTTGCTCAAGGTCAGGAAGTTCGCGAACCAGCCCTGAGCGAGACCCGTCTCTACACAAAATAGAATAATTAATGACAACTAAAAATATATACAAAAAATAGCCGCCGGCATGGTGGCACATGCCTGTATCCCAGCTACCGGGAGGCTTGAGGCAGTATTTTTTTTGTTTTGTTTTGTTTTTGCTGAATGACCAAATAAACACATTTAATAGCTTGATCTAAAACCCTCATAACCTGTATTATAAGGAAATTATTAGTATCCAACTCCTTCATTCATTCAGATCAGAAATAAATATGTTCTCTAATAAGTATTAAGTAGTAAATTATGGCATTACTGTAATTCTGAAATGTATAAAGAGATGCACAATTAACTCTTAAGAGAGTTTTGTTGCTCTTTGATTTTTAACACAAATCAGTTCTGAATTGGTTCAGGTCAGAGTGTGCGTGTGTGTGTGTGTGTGTGTGTGTGTGTGTGTGTGTGTTTCAACCTTCCTTTCACTGTCAGGGTTCCCCTTGCCTGGAAAGGCTTTCCCTCACCTTTAGGAGAACTGATTGGCTAGAGGTACTGTGCCGGTTAGTGCTGGAGAGCCAAATGTTAATCCTGGACTGCCACCTACTGGCCAGTGATCGTCATAGCACAACCTGAAGGGACTCGACCTTGTTTTGCTCTAGAAACCCAATTTTCTCGTTAATGGGGGAGGGTTACATTAGACCATCAAAAATTCTTGACCAGGTAGATCACCATATCCTGATCTTTTCTCTAAGGTCTTTTCCAGTTTTAGGATTCAAAGACTCTATTTCACCCAGTTTGTTCCTTACAATCCAAAGGGTAAAGGTAGACAATGCAATAAATCCCATTTTATTTGATTTTTTTGACAAATTAAAATTATATATATTTATGGTGTGCAACATGATGTGTTGGATATATGCATGCATTATGAAATAATGAAATAAAGTTGTTCAACATATCCATCACCTCACATACTTAACAGTTTTTGGTGGTAAGAACATTTAAAATCTACTCTCTTGGCAATTTTGAGGTATAAAAAAGATTATTGTTAACCATAGTTAACATGCTGTACAAAAGGCCATTTTATCTGATTGTTTAAACAATGAAACATTGGGCCTGGGAAATCAAGCATTAATGCTAATCAAATATATTAATGAATGAATAAAACCCCTTTAAAATATTCCTAGAATTTGTTTGTTTCTGATTCATCGGAAAATATTTCAAAACCTGTTGGGTCTGACTCCCAGTCCTGCCATTTTCTTCAAAAGCTGTTGGGTTGACTCTCAGGATTATTAGAATTCCAGTCCTGCCACTTTCTCAAGGTGTGTCCTTGCTCAAGTTACTTACTCTCTCTGTGCCTCAGTTTTCTCATCTGTAAAGTGAGGGTAATAATAATGCTATTATTATTTACTTTATAGGATTATTAGGAGGATTAAATGAGTCAACTAACACAAAGTGTTTGGAAAAAATGCCCGGAACAGGCCAGTAGTAAAAGTTCAGTAAATTTAAGCTATTTGTTATTCTTATTATTGCTACTGCTAACATCACTTATCTAATGTCATTAAGATGATTAGATATGCAGCGGACTCCATTGAGGCTTTGCTCCTGCCTGCCTTGGAGACACACGTGCAGACACCAATATAGGCCCGATAGCAGCCTCCACCGGCAGGGAGCTTCCTCCAAAGAACTGTGTCGAGTGCAAAGCAACACCTGTCCAGCTGGCCCAAACTCTCTCCAGCCATTTAGTCCCACTGACCTAAGGCTAAAGTCCCCCCAGTTAAAATGTTAAAAGGGAATGGGTTATACCAGGGTCCATCATCCTTCAACTTCACCTTTGGGACAATTTCATTCCTTCATCTGGCAAACCCTTATTAAGTCCCAGTATCCTAGTCCCTTGGTGGTCTGGTGTCTGACACTGGCCAGACGGCAGAGGATTAATCGGACCAGGATGGGGATCGGACCAGTGCCCGGTCCTGGCCACACCCCACTGTGCTCGGGACCACCATTGGAATCACCCTTAACTAGAACCTCTGCCCAAATGGGTTGCGGTAAGAGTTTGGTAGGAAAAAAAAATGGAAATAGAGAAATTTTAATTTTTTTAAATCTAAGTTCCAGGGATAGGGCAATAAACCCCAAATATTTGTGTGTTAAATAACTGGACAAACCAAGGAATAATAGATTTAAATTATTCATGCTCTCTTAGCTTTCTCTCTCAACACATTCCCACCTCAGTCCGGCCACCCTCTCGGGTATTAAGACAATCATGGGATTTCCCTCCTTTTTTTTCCCCGATAGAAAAAAAAAAAAAAGTCATTCTTACCCTCTAAAAATTATTTTCCCGTGTGGCTCAGGAGGCTCCCCTTTTGCCTCCTGCCCCTTCCCTCCAGACACGGTGAGCAGGGCTCCCGGGACCCCTGCTCTCGCCAGCTTGCCCTGCAGCTCTGGGCTGGGCTGGCCCGTGGCCCTGTCAGGAGGCTCCTGCCCGCCGGCTCCGCTCAGGGCTGGGGCCTGAGCCCAGTGGAGGAGACCAAGAGCCCAGCCATGGAGGGGCCCCAAGAAGTGGGTGAGTGTCAACATGGCCCCAACATTCCTGCCAGTTTAATTTTATAACGTGATCCTCTGAGCTTCCTAGATGTGCCTAAAATGAATTAAAATGAGCTCTTTATTTTGGAGACGTTCATCTGCCCTTTGGAAGCCATCCAGCATGTCCGAGCCTGCCCCGAGGGGCAGTCCTCTGTCTGCTGGCTCCTTTGTGGGGCAGAAGTCTTTCCACCAGGTGTCGGTGGAGGGCCTCGGTGTGGGGGGTGTGAAGGCCGCCCCTTCCCACAGTGTCCACGACAGCCCCCGAGGCAGCCCGGGCGGCCCACCCTCAGCCCCTGACCTTCTGTGAAGCTGTGTGTGTCGTTCTGAGTCACCCAGGGTCAGCCTGAGCCTCCAACTCTTCTCCCCAGCCCACACCCAGGAGTGCCTCCTTTCCTCTCTCTCCCCAGAGAGTGCAACTACTCCTTTCCCTTTCTCCAGGGGGATTCCTTCAGCTTCTCCTCTTTCCCCCTCAATCCCTCAGGGAGTTGCTGGTCTAAATGAATTCACCTTCCTCAGCAGTCCAGTCCAGACTGGCCCCTTCTGGAAGAAACGGCAGCCATTTGCTCTTTCCCCTGGGCTCCCGAGATAGTCCGATATCCAGCTGTCTCCTCTCTTGCATGCAGGACATTCCCCAAGTGAACACTCGGTGGCTGAGAGAGGGTGGGCCCTGGGCCTGACCTTCGGCCCCTAAATCACTGGGAGGCCTTTTGCCCTGTTCCTGCTGCGACCTCAGAGCTCAAATGTTTAACAGCCGCTCAGCCTGGCCAGCCCACCTTCCTTAGCCCATTTCCGACCTAAACCACAAAAGGGCTTGAGTCTCATGGACTAAACCTGGGGAAGCTTACCGAACCTTCCGATGAAAATAGCTACATGAATATATCGAGTATGAGCAACTAGACTAAAATATCTAACCATATCTTGATGAGCGTATCGGAAAGCCCTTTGCAGAGAAGGTCTAATCCGGTGCCTTACCTGACTGGGGCAGAGCATCAATAAAGGCAAAAAAGTGCTTCTCTAAATCCTCCACGTCCGAGAATGGCCGCTGGGACCAAACAGCAGCTGCAATCAGAGGACATCGCTCAATGACGTTCCCAAACACATCCACGAATTCTCCAAAGTCCATGGAGTTGACCTTCTCAATGTCCATGGCTCGCACTGAGCTGCGGGCAGCAGGACGTCCCACTTCACGCTCCGTGAGCGAGTGACGCCGACTCTGCTCGCCCGGTTATATTTGCAGATCGCACGGGCTTGCTTTTTATGCAACACCACCTTAGCATGTTTTAAGTGCCTCTGGGAGAGGCGCATCCAGAATACTTGTGTAATGAACAAATACAGGCTTAAGGTTCTAACCCAGAGATCTTGGCACGGCCAACGTTTCTAACCAAACTGTTCCCAAACCAGCAGGTCATATTCATTTGACTCCTATTCAAATGTGAGTCATATTTCAGCCTCAGCGTTTGAGCCAGATATGCTTTTGATGTCATTAGCATTTTAATGTCATCTTTATTCCAGGGAGTTTTCCCCGGATAATTCAGACAGTTCACAGAAGTCAGCCTGTTTGGAACTTGATTTTCCATCTCTTGTTGCTGCTGCTATGGAAGACAGGTACTATGTTTTATTCTTTTTCTGTATCCCAGATACATTACACAATAGGTACCTAATAAATGCTCATTATACAGGATGAGGTATCTAAGGAATAATTCTGTCCCGTTCTCTATAGTCTCTCCAACAGCATCATGAGTTATTGTCTTCTTGAATGTATCTGTCCCTACCTGAAATCATCTTGCTATCGTATTTATTTATTTGCATGTCCCGGAATCAGTCAGCTCTCAGGCCTGGGTGCCTAGACGCTGTCACAGTGAGTACACAAGAAACACTGTGGGATGAATTATTTGGCCAATTGACCATATAGATTGGATTTCACATGCTAATGTCTTCCATGTACACACAAAACAAAAATAATGTGCAAGGTAAAGTCCAAGAAGGCGTCAGAATTTACAAATAAAGACATTGCTACTATTTCCCTTTAGAATTAAAAATGAAAACATATTTCCAACAGTCGTACAGTTACACATTTGCTTCCATTTCAATCAAAATTCATTGAGAGAGCAACGGCACGAAGATTAATAAAGCAGTCAGTCACATTTGCCCCTATGGTCTGTGAGAGGCAAGTGACAATAGTGCGTGTGCAATCTACCAGTGGCCATAGGTTTTGTCCTAACTCTGTAGACCGTTCTCCAGTGGGATCTCCCATTGACTGCCTGGGCCATTGGGTCATGAATGACTGATAGAGGCTTCATCCCTTAAAAAGAAGCTGATAAAATTTGCTTTTCAAAGGGTATCAGAAGTTCCACCATTATCAGCCTTCTCTTTGAATCTGAAGGAAGAAAGTGTTCATACTTATATATCACATATCTATGTACATGTAAAAAAGGTGGAATCGCCAGTGGGCATGCAGCTTCCAGCAGTATAGCACAGCATAGGGGAGTTGGACTCAGGAGCCAGACCACAGGGGTTCTAATCCCGTCTCTACCTTTTACTGTCTGGCACGTGGCAAGCTATTGAACTTTTCTATACCTCAGTTTCTTCATTTGTAAAGTGGGGACAATAATAGTATTTGCTTCATGGGAGTTTTGCAAAGATAAAATGAATTAATGTACCAAAGTGCTCTCAACAGTTCCTGTCACATAGCATTACATAGGCGCTGGCTAACATAACATCCGCTGTGTACAATCACTCCATTGACAACAAATTTCTCTTTATTCTTATCTTATTCTTTACTCCTTGTTTTTTTCTTAGATTTCAGCATGTGATATATTTCTTCTTTCCATTACTGTAGGTCTGACACCTTGTCCTTTAGAGCTGCTTTCATTCCGCATTAGTTCCTTGGCTTGCAGAAGCATTGTCCAGCCACTCTATACAGTGTGCATGTGGAATATGGACTTAAAGATCCCTTTCAGCACTATAACATATGTCTCAAACATTTGCGTACACAATTAGCCAAAAACCTGTTGAACTGTATTCAGCATGGTGTATTTTCTTGCACTCCTCACTTTCCACACCCACCACCTCTTGTATGGTCTCAACCTCTCCTGCCATTAACCTTTTCCAAGGCCCCGTTCAAATTTCAACAGTTGAAACGTCTATCTTGCATGTGCCCTGTAATCAGCCATTGTTGATGGGTCATATGAGCTGGGATAGTGCATTCTCTCCTGAGTGATACTGCGATATGTCTGAGGGGCATTTTTCTCCAATAATAGTATAATTTTCATTTTTCCACTCACAGAGCTTTTATTGGAGCTAGCCTTGATCTACTATTTTATCTTTTATTGTTAACTAGCTTATTCCTGATTATTAATAAACACTTCCAGGAGAACATTTTCTATAAATATTTAGTCATAATTGGTTTATAGGTATTATTATAAAGTTCAATTTTTTTTTGAGAGACAGATCTCAAGCTTTGGTGCATCAAAGCTAACGTAGAAGTGCCAAGCGAGTTAGCCTAAAGCCATCAAACTACAACCTAAAGCCACACTGGCTTTCCTTTTCTATTTGACTCTCTCATCCATGAATCAACAAAGCAACGACATTCAAGCACAGCATCGTGGCTTCAAAGCAAAGCAGGCTACTCTTCCTGCTCTACCACATATCCGCCACAGGTAGCATAAAGTGACAATTAATAACAAGGAGTTGCTATTAAATCTAGCGCACAATCCACCAGTTTTATAAAATACAGGTGGAGATGCATGCTAATTGTGAGATTACATATAAAATGTCAAATCATATCAAGGCCGCCCGCGCCGGGGTGGCTCACCTCACAGTTTTTTCTATATACTCCTAGCCTCTGGGAGCCGAGGCGGGCAGATTGCTCCAGGGTCAGTTGGGACCAATGTTTAATTCGCATTTCTATTTCAACTCTAAGCTAAACCCTGAGCAAGGCGAGCCAAGACCGTCCGTCTCTACCTCGCTACTAGCGTTTCGAACTATCCGTGAACATCAGATTAACAATTCGCGCCAATAATATCCAATATAGAAATACTACACTCGGCCTCGCAATGGGCGGCATGCCTGTAGTCCAGCTACTCGGGAGACTGAGGCAGGAGGATCTGCAGAGTTGCAGCTACGCGAAGGTACTATTGAGTGGTTGCTGGGTGAGCCACCTCGGCTGACCCGGCCGCACTCACCCACACCTAGCCCGGCACAAAGTAGAGACGGTTTCTGAGTACTTTTCTAAAAATATAAAAAAACCAAGATCAAGTACTGTTTGGCCACAATAAAATAGGAGTAAGATCTCCTTGAGGAAATGCTAAATTAGATTTCAATTACTAGGTAAGGAATACACTGGCAAAATTATATCAAAAATATGGTATGGAATTAACATATAGCTATCCCATAAACAAACTACACATTGGTTGAATCCAAGGGGAGAAGCAAGAAGGAGACAGACATTTCTATAGATAAAAGCTAGCTTGCAATACCCAAATGGAGAAACATTGGATAGAACATCAGTGCCTCCATATTATTTGTCTTACTTGATAATTCTTTATCAGATGCATGTATACTTTTCTGCCACACACATTATATGACAATACCCAAAACTATGGAGCAGCAACAAGCAGTTCCTAAGCAGGTACCGTTATGCAATGAATCAATTTACATCAAAGAAAGAGGAAAGATCCTCAATAAGAAACTAACGCTTACCACCCTCAAGTACACGAAAAGAAACAAACTTATTGAGCACAAAGTTAACAGAGGAGGGAGATATCTATAGAAGATAAATCTGAACAAGTAGGTTGCTTATGATGAACTAAAAAGAAATCGAACGAGTCCTAGAATTATGGGTTGTGCTTATGAAACACATGCTAAACAAATGTAATAAAACAGACAGTCTGTTGACCATGGTATCATAAAGGAGAACAACTTCTATAATCAATTAAAGTCCACGCGAACTGCCGAAAGAAGAACCTTACACGGTAGCACAGAAATATAAGAGGCATCCGTAAGAGACCTACACTATTAGAACATCTATGCAAAAATTGGACAACCTATGAAGAAACTGGATACTTCTAGAAACATAATGCTACCTGAAAGACTGAAGCATGAAGAAACTTGGAAATCTGAACCAGACCAAATAATAAGGAGACTGGACTGGATAGTAATAAAAGTATTCCTTATTTCAAAAAAGGCACCCTTGTGGATCTGATGCGCTTCATGGCTTAATTCTACCAAAACATATTTAAAGAACTAATCCATCTCCTTCTCAAACTTCTTCCATAAAAAATTGAAGAGGAGGGAAACATTCAAACTCCATTTATGACCAGCATGACCAGATATCCAAAGTCAGACAAGTACAAAGAAGAAAAGAGAACCTCATAGGCCAATATCACTAATGACATAGATGCAAAATCCTCGATAAACCCACCCATTATTCAACTGACATTTAAAAGGGACGATTCACCCTGATCAGTGGGTTTGTCCCTAGGATGCAAGCTTGGTTTAACATATGCAAATCAATAAATGCGATTCACCATATTAACAGAATGAAAGACAAAAACTGTACTGTCACCAATAGATACAGAAAAAGCATTTGACAAAATTTAACATCTTTTCATGATACAAACTCCAACGCCGGCGCGTGGTGGCTCACGCCTTTAATCCTAGCAATGCTGGGAAGCCGAGGAGGGTGGATTGCTCAGGTCAGGAGTTTCAAAAACCAGCTGACAAGACCCCGTCCTACTATAAAAAAATAGAAAGAAATTAATTGGCCAACTAATATATTAATATAAAAAAAATTAGCTGGGGCATGGTGGCGCATCCTGTGAGTCCAGCTACTGGGGAGCTGAGGCAGGAGGATTGCTTGAGCCCAGGAGTTTGAGGTTGCTGTGACTGGCGACCTCACGGCACTTCCACCTCTAGCCTGGCAACTAAAGTGAGACTACTGTCTCAAAAAAAAAAAAA